TGTGACGTCTCAGACACTGTCTGTGATGTCTCAGACACTGTGTCTGAGACATCACAGACACTGTGTCTGAGACGTCACAGACACTGTGTCTGAGACGTCACAGACAGTGTCTGAGACGTCACAGACAGTGTCTGTGATGTCTTAGACACTGTGATGTCTCAGACACAGTGTCTGAGACGTCACAGACAGTGTCTGTGATGTCTCAGACACTGTGATGTCTCAGACACTGTCTGTGATGTCTCAGACACAGTGTCTGTGATGTCTCAGACACTGTGATGTCTCAGACACTGTCTGTGATGTCTCAGACACAGTGTCTGCCTAATGAGTTTGTGTTTTTCCTTGTGTTTGTCAGGTGAATATAAACAACCGTTCAGAGCTTTAAAAATGTTTTGATGGTTTGTGATAAAATGAGTTCTTAAAAATAAGTAAAATAAAAAAAAACGGGTGATAAAAAGTCTATGTAGGTCATTAATTGAAATTTATTCTAGTAAACTCTCAACTTTAGATTAATTTAAAAAAAAAAAAAGATATGAGCTGAATTTGTATTTCTGAATGAATATTTTGAAAAACATGGCAAATGTATTTATTACTTTGTTAAGAAATATTGGAGAAAAGTTAGTCACTTGATTAAAATCAAGGTCTTAGAGAAATGAGTTTGATGCCCCCCTTAAGTTCAAAGGTCACACAGCTTTAATGAGGTTCACGTATAGTTGAAGCACTGTTTTAAAATATAAAGGAACTCAGAAACACATCAGTCAGGAGAGGAGCCGCCCAGATGAGCTGGTTATAAAAAGCCTCCAGCTGCGCCTAATAAAGATTTGTTTCCAGAATATATTCTCTTTTAAAAGTTCTCTCTTCTCGTATCTCACCCCGAGAGCTGAGTTGATCATTTTTACTGGTGTTTAAAGACCGATACCTGACCCGCCCCTCCCTGCACAGAACAACACGACGGTTCGCCTCACCTTCCAGGCCCTTCTGGTCGATCACGGCGCCGGCAGCTTTAGCCACAGCTTGATGCAGGGTGTCGCTCCCCACCTGATTCAGCCTGCGGGAGCTCAGAGCTCGCTTCTGTTTGTTGCTGCCAAACGCCTCAATCAACGAATCAACCTAAAACATCAAATTAAAAAAAAATAATAAAACATCTGTGCATGACTTCAGCTTTTAAAGTTGGTTTCTCAAAAGACCAACAGGTCCTTGTACCTTGTCTTTGTAGGCCTGAGCAGTGTGCTGAGGTTTTGCCGTCTCAGTTCTCTCTCCTAAAGACACGATCAGAACATTTAAAAGTTACATCTGACCTGCAGGACGCAGCCTCCTCAGAAGAAGCTGGTCCAGTTACATTCAGTGCCAAGCGGGGATGCATTTACCTGGTATAACAGGCTGCAGGTTGAACACCTGAGCGCTGTGCACCTCCATCTGCAAGGTCCGTTTGTTCAGAACTCCAACATAATATCTGAGGAGGCACCAACCACCATGCTGCTCATTAATCCTCTCCTCACAACAAACCTCAACATGAAGCCGACACTCACTGGCAAAAGTTGTTGCACTTCATGGATCCAGCGCCAAAGTTCTGCCCAACATAACACATCCTTTCTGATTCAGCGACCTCGACACAGGAGAACAGCTGATTATTAAAGAACCTTTATATTACACATTACTCCACCTTCATCCTCACCACTATCCGCCTGCTCTTCTTCCTCGGGTTGTTTTCATCCACGTTCTTGAACGTGCTGAAGTCCAGTCTGTCAGCATCTTGGACGCAGCCGTTCGAAAAGCGGACTGAAAATAATGATAATTAACAAACGGGAGGAAAAACTCTGGACAAACCACAACGACGAGCCGTTTCACAGATACCAACATCTGTGTTCACCTCTAAGCATCGTAATCCTGTTTGGGGGCACCCGGTGTGTGAAACAGTGTGTAAATGGGTCGTGGGGATCACTGTACCGTGTATAAGTGCTACAACAATCACAGATTCAAAAACAAGAATATGGAATAATGGAAACTTCTGACAGTCACACCAAGGTCTAGTATTATAGTATAATTCTAAACACCCTGCAGATGTTGGATGCTGATTATCATGGTGCACTAAGATTCATAACTGGCTGTAACTACTGTACCCACCACTGCACCCAGTATTCACTGGTTAACTGGACATCATTAACTTCACGCAGACTCTCTCACTGGTACATTTTCATCTTTAAATCACTTCTTGGTCTGCTGCCTTCATACATCTCCTCCTTCATGTCACTGCGTGAGTGCAGCTACAGAGTGCGCTCTCAGGACATTATTACCTGCAGTGTCCCCTCAGTGAGGAGGACTGAACAAGGCAAAAGGTCCTTCTCCTACTCTGCTCCTGTTTCCTGGAATATCTTACAAAAACATCTGAAGCTCTCGACCAAGTGACTTCAAACATCTGCTAAGTTCCTGGCAAGAACCAATGCAGACATGTTCCTGTTTTTAGTTTTTTATATCGCTTTATAATGTAGCTGTTTTTTTGTTTTTTATATATAATTTTCTTCCATTTATTTTACAATTTATATATATATATTTATATATATATATATATATATATATATATATATATATATATATATATTTTTTTTTTATGACCGTCTACTGTTGTCATCATTCTTTGTTAAAATTCAGGTCTCACTTGTAATATGAGTCCTCGAGGCTCAATGAGACTAACTTGTATAAATAAAGGTTGAATGAATGAATGAATAGGTCCAGTTTTAGAGGTCTAGTATTATAGTACAGGTCTAGTTTTGTCAGCATTGTTCAAAAAAGGTCTGATCAGACCCTGGAGAGTCAATCGATTGCTCATTTTGTAGGTTTATTGTACACACACGTAAAGACAAAACCCAGACGATGGACCATCTGATGTATAGTTGCACCTACGCCTGTCACAATAACAAATTTTGCTGGGCAATTAATTGTGTCGGCAGCACGGTGGCGCAACTGGTAGAGCTGCTGCCTCTCAGCGAGAAGGTTGCCGGTTCAAATCCCAGTCCGGGGTCCTTCCTGAGTGGAGTTTGCATGTTCTCTCCGTGCATGCGTGGGTTTTCTCTGGGTACTCCAGTTTCCTCCCACAGACCAAAAACATGCATGTTAGGCTGATTGGTAACTCTAAATTGTCCCTAGGTGTGAGTGAGAGAGTGAATGGTTGTTTGTCTCGTTTGTCTCTATGTGGCCCTGTGATGGACTGGAGACCTGTCCAGGGTGTACCCCGCCCCTCGCACAGTGATTGCTGGACATGGGCACCGGTGACCCCCCTGACCCAAAATGGAAGAAGTGGGTAAAAGATAATGGATGTATGGAATTAATTGTGTCAAAAATTATTGCGATAAATTATAATATTGTTTGAAATTTAACAATAATTACTAATTATTGTCAAATTTAAGAAGAAATTTTGGTTAATTTTATTTTAATGTAGTGCCTTTTTTGACCACTGGATGACAGTATAAGACTGTTTGAACTGAAGGATTGATAGTGAGGGAGCAAGCAGCGTGTCTCTTTAAGAGAAATGGGAGGGAGTCTCCTTGACGTGACATGGGCTGTCACTCCTTCCTTTTTTCCGGTTCCACAAATGGCGGACGCTCGTTGTGGTTTGAGCTCTTTAGCATAAAATTTTTCACATAAAGCTTTTAATTAAAAAAAAAAAAATAAAATCAGAAACAAGTTCTCAGCTTCTTTTTGCAGAGAAAAACAACTTTTTACACGAAGGCACGTTTCAACTGTGAATTTTGGAGCTTCAACAAGACGGACTTTTTTTTCCCTGAGGTCGGCCTGTTAGCTTAGCTCGTAGCTTAGCTGCTTTTAATGATCCAAAAACACAATTTTGGACGGTTATGACAAAGAGCTAAAGTTAAATTACTCTACTAGACCTGACAGATGAGACTCACTCATTTATTTCTGCTTTTAATGCATTTTCTATTTTATAGAGGAAGAAAGTTTCACTGACGTGAAGCTCAGTGTGTCAGTTTTCTCATTCAGGCTTTATTTAGACAGGTTAGTGTCAGTGAGCCAGGAGGACTCATTTACAAGAGAGACCTGTTAATCAGTCTGCGTTCCATTACTCTGGAAGGACCCGGATGTGACACACAAAGAAAATGATTTTTGAAATTGAAACTGAATTAAAAAAACTGAATTTTCAAAGCAAATTAATTCAGTTTCAAACCATCAGATTCAGTTTCAATTTAGTGAAATTCAGCTTCAAAACAGCAATTCAAATTCAGTTTCTGGTGGAACAAGTTTCAGCCCATAGCTCTCGTGGTGGTGCGGTGTGTGTGAACCGATTGATTTTGTTTGAACTGGGCTGATCCTGTAGGTTTGGTTCATGGTAGGAAATGTTTCTAGTGTCGTCAGCTGTGTCCAGGTAAAATAAATCAGGCTCAGGTGTGTTTGTCTACTCACTTTGGACGTTTGAAAGTTCCTGTGACGGAAACTGAATCAAGCAAGAACTGAACTGAAAATGACGAGGAGGATGATCATTGTTGGATAAAATAAATATCCTTTCAACATCTCTTTACTCAAACAAGCCACTCCGAGGACACAACGAAGATGTTTCCAGCCAGTTTACTTGTGAGGGGGCAGAGTCCACACACAGGCGTACACAGATGTCGAGGTCTACAATAGTTAGTCGATAGTTAACGAACGAATCCATTCCTCTTGATTAATGGGAGAATATTCAAACCACTTGTTGTGCCGTGCTCTCGAAAACAGTTGTTGAATCAGGTGTTTATTTATGTAGGTAAACACAGATGTTTAACAACCTGTTAAAATACACTAGATTACAGGAAATGGCATCTACTTTATTCAAAATTTTATGGGGGAGAACCCTCAGACCCCACAACCAGAGTGTTGTGGGGTCTGTGATCCCATCACATTAAAATGTTTCCAACACCATTGCTGCTACTATTACTTCATGGTGTAGGGGCAGGACAGCCGACTCGGACCTGAAGGTCCCGGGTTCGATCCCTAGCCATTGCACATGTCGTGGTGTCTCTGAGCAGGACACCCAATCCCAAATTGCACCCCGGGCGGTTACATAGCTGCCCACTGCTCCACCTGTGTGTATCCCAGGTGTGATGGGTTAAATGCAGAGACAATTTCATCTTTGTATGGGAACATTCAATGATGACGACACATAGCACTTTATTTATTATTTACTTGTTTTATTTCTCTTAGGAAATGTGTGGAGACAGATTCCTGCTGCTAAATTTGATTTTTATTGTTTAAACATTAATAAATATGTAAAAAATAAATAAACTCTTAACTGTCCCCGTTTCTTAATTTAATCTGGATAACATTTTATTATTTTTGGTCTCCGCGCTGGAAATGTCCCCAGATTTAATGTCAGAAATCTGTTCACCTTAACTTGACAACCTCTACGAATTAGTTTCATGTCCCCCGCTGGCATTTTCTTTGTATTATTCATGTTAATGATTTTTGAACAACCAGAAGTTTTGTATGTCTTATAATTTTCAATCAAGAAAAAAACAAAAACAAAAGGTTCATGTCTGACAAAACGGTCACGAGCACCCACGTGCACGCGCATTCTGTTGTTTAAACGACACCTCTAAGAACAACACAACACTATCTGTCATGACGGAACTTAATTTCACTTTTAAAGACTTTTATACAAATGAAAATAATCACCTAGGACAGCTTTGTCGCTTGTCTCCTCTTCGCAGCACACCAACGAGCAGGAGGCAGCCATGACAGTTGTGAAGAGTCATGTGAGGCAAGAGGATGCACCGTCACGTACTTCCGCCTTCGTATAGAAGCAACCAGAGCCCTGTGGAAGCAACTAGATTTAACAAGTTTTTTTTATTTAACTATAATGTTATACATAATGTGTGTAAGTAAAACAAACTTAGTTTATTTGTGTATGCTTTTTTATGAATGTTTTTATCATGACACAAAAGGACAAACAATACATAGTTCAGCACTGCACAACAAATGATAATATATTATATATTATTCTGTTGCAAATAAAGTCCATTTGTTTTTGTTTTGAACTTTTTTGCACTTACCATGTCCTGGGTGACTGAGAATCTTCACCTGGAATATATTAAAAGCAATATGCCAAAGGAAAAACAAACAAAAAAATGTGTGGATTGATAGGAAAAGTTTTAGTGTGAAACATTTAGTCAGTGCTTCTTACTGGAATTATGTTTTCCTTAATCAGTCAATCATTGGCCCTTATAAACTAACTTAACTTCTTCACTATCCACCATCTAAATAAAATTATACAGTATCACAAGGTTCATGCGGCTATACTCCTTGCAAATTTGGAAAAATTGCAAAAGCAAAAATATAAGTCGTTGCGCGCCATAGTTCCATTCACCTTTTTACAGTCACTAAGGCGAAACTGCACAATGCACATGCTCAAAGTCTGCATTTTTTTATGCTCTGTGGTCTAAATTAATTCATGCCTATCCAAAAAAGTTCAATCTGGTCCTCTGGACATTCAAAAAACAAGAAAACAAAAAAGACAAAAAACAAAGCAAAAAAAAAGTAGAAATGTTTTGTCTTTCATCCGAGAGACTTCCTCAGTCTGAGGTGCTGTATTCAGCTCAGTCTCTTAAATAGCACCTTCTCAGAGTGGATCAACCAGTTTGCTGCTGACAAGTGAGGTCCTTCTTGAGCATGTGATCAGCTGGTTTTGGTTGTCAGCAGCAAACTGGTTGATCCACCCTGAGAAGGTGCTATTTAAGAGACTGAGCTGAATACAGCTCCTCAGACTGAGGAAGTCTCTCGGATAAAGGACAAAACATTTCTACTTTTTTTTTTGCTTTGTTTTGTTTTTTGTCTTTTTTGTTTTCTTGTTTTTTGAATGTCCAGAGGACCAGATTGAACTTTTTTGGATTTTTCTACCTGGATTATTGAGCATGTATCAGGATAATTCATGCCTACTTCCTGTTTTCATGTCTACTTAAGCTTTGCTCCGGCGTCATTCTGACACGCAACGACATTAAACGTTTTCATTGTCACAATGTAAAATACCAATAAACTAGTTGATAAATACGTCTGTATAAAAAAGTTTTTAAAAAAAGCAGATGTTCAATGACCAAAATACGCCGATTTTGACTACCGGAAACTGATTTTACGCATGCGCATTAGTACCTCGATATACTGCCGCAGCGACGCCTAGTGGTGAATTGTAAAATCGCAGCTCTCCACCTGAGGTCGCGGCGGACATGGAAGTGAAACACAGCGCCACCCTGTGAGTCTGGTTTGGAAAAACCGTCTGAGGAACAGAAAATCATGAGAAATTATAGTACAAGCGTTTTACTTCAGACTGTTTCGACGCCGGTTAGACGTAGTGTTGAGCGTAGTTGTACCGACCTGTGAGTGCGTGTCCGTCGGTTTAATACGAGCGGTCCCAAATGTCCAGACAGCCAGGGCTAACTGAGGAAGTGGACCGCGTCAGGGGATGGTAGCAGTGGCAATGTTAGCTGGAGGTTGTCACATTTGAGGAGACATTTTGTGGTGGTGAAAGAGGGTTTTTGGCTCGGATAGAGGAGGACCGGTTCATCCCCGGTGTACGGTGTGCTCCTGCTGCTTGTGCTGTAAGCTAGCAGGCACTTTGCTATGCTGCTGCTAGCAGCTAAATTTAGCATCTTCAGCTAAGAGACCTTGTTTGGGCTTTTGGTTTCTACGTTTTTGGAAGTCTCAAGGTAATCTAAAGATGCAATGGCTATCTTTTTGTATGAACTAGTTACAGTGCACCTGTGCTGTTGTTTTATTGGCGTTAGCTAGCTGTCTGTGCTGCAGCTAATCATGGCTGCACTTTTACTCATGTAAACACCAGAACTAACCAAGATGAACTATTTTATAATGCACATACACTGACAGGGACGCGCTTATTTTAAACCAGTATTTTAGGCTACAATAGGGGCTGCATTCAATCCACAAATCATTTAGAAATCAAACTTGTTTTCATTTGTGTAGACCCCATTGAAATTGCAGCTTTTCTTCCATAAAATTATATTTAATGCCTTTCATTGTTATTTATATTCATAAAATGATCCAAGAAATCATAAATGTCTTGGATTATGTCATCCATTGAGGAAATCTTAGGAAAACTCAGTTCACATGGACTAAACCAAAAAGTTTCATTAAAGTGTGGTTGACTGATGTTCAGCTGTATTTCAGCCCTCAGTAGTTGAACATCATCTGATTTTGCTCCATTGTCTTTGCTTTATCTGCAGGGTTATGGATTTCCCAGGTCACTTCGAGCAGATCTTCCAGCAGCTCAACTACCAGCGCGTCCACAGCCAGCTATGTGACTGCGTCATTGTGGTGGGCAGCAGACACTTTAAAGCCCACCGCTCAGTGCTTGCAGCCTGCAGCACACACTTCAGAGCGCTGTTCACTGTTGCAGAGGGCGATGCCAGCATGAACATGATCCAGCTGGACAGCGAGGTACAGACACTGACGATGGAAGCGTCACAGCTTTGAACCATGACGATAAAGTGTGTGTTTTGCAGGTGGTGACGGCTGAAGCATTTGCCGCGCTGGTGGACATGATGTACACATCAACGCTGATGCTGGGGGAGAGCAATGTCATGGATATCCTACTCGCTGCTTCACATTTGCACCTAAACAATGTTGTCAAGGCCTGCAAGCACTACCTGACCACTCGCACGCTGCCCATGTCCCCCTCGACAAGCCACCACCACCCCCAGCAGGAGCCTCAGAGGCACAGGCAGCAGCAAGCAGCAGATTTAGTGAACCCTAGTCTAGCATCCAATCCAAACCTCACAGCCACTGCTGCCACATCCAAATTGCAGCGTTCCTTCCTCCTGCAGCAGCTGGGCCTCAGCTTGGTCAGCTCGGCCCTGGGGGGCATGGAGGAGGATGCGGTGGGCAATAGAGTGGTGGAACAAGCCTCCTTCCCAATAAGGCGCTTTCACAAACGTAAACCCTCTGTAGCAATGGGACTCTCAGAGGAGAGACCCCGACAGAGGCAGCGGTCCTCAGCCTCCAACTTGGGACTGTTAGGAGAAGATGTGGGGAACATGGCGCGAGAGGAGGGGGTGCTCCTCTCACCCGACTCACACAAGATGGGGGATGAATCCAAGTTGGATGCTGGAATCGGCGGGTTGGCGCCTCCCGATGACCCTCAGATGCCGAGTCAGTCAGATAGCGGGCAGTGTGAAGGGGAGAACCTGGGAAGGATTCAGGTGGGGGTGAGCAAGGAAGAGGACATGTGTGATGATGATCATAAAGAGGACAGAGGAGGGATGAAGATCAAATCAGCTGCAGAGGAGGAGGCTGAAGAAGAGGAGCAGAAGGTAAATCTTATGAAACTTACAACCTCGATTTAAAATAAAAAGTTGTGGTGTTGTAAAAACTGTAAATACAGAATGTAATCCTTGGTTCTGGACTGACGTCGCACTTCCTACATCCGGGCTCTAAGACAGGATGAACTAACCAAAAGCAACTTTTCATATCAGTTAACGTACATGAGAGGTCAGCAATAGTTGAGTATTGTTGGGTTAAAGGGTGCACAAACAAAGCAGATGAATTGGGAAAGAGAAGTTTTCAATATATCTTAAAACTGAGAAAGCACGAAGGCGAACAAACTTTACATTTCAGCCTTGAGTGTCGACGTATGCGGCTCGCCAGCAATAATATCAACAGCACAGACAATCCATCTGAAACTGCAAGAACTGACTTCTAACACTTTGTCAGCCGTAAGTAACGGTTCAAGCGTAATAAATCTACGATCGTGTCAGTTTTCTATTGATATGGTTCCAAACAACACGGTATTTAAAAGGTCGGGGTCATAACGGAGTGCTTAGAACTTTAGGTGCAACATGAACATTAAGAGATAAGAACTGAAGACCAAATTATAAATAAAGGCACATATTATTTATATACCAACAACAAACGGTTTACTTCCTGTTTATGAGCAGATGTTTGGTGTTTGTTTAGGAGTCATTGCATCGTTCACCCAACCCCTACTGCTTCGGTTAAACGTGTCCAAAGACATTCCTGCAGAGCGAATGTGCTTTTATTGTGAAATAAATAATTCATAATGTTGCAGTGAGTGACCGCCGGGCGAGAGTTTGACTCTCAACACCCATTAGCTTCGTCCACCTCGAATGGATCAATCCCAGTAACGGCAATTTTTTTGTCTTCTTACCTCAACAACACTATTTACTGCATCTCTAGAAGGTCCTTTAGCATTTGAAGAAGCCACAGTTGATGAAAATTTAGAGCATAGCCAGAAGAAAAGCTCTTGTTGGTGCTGTGCGCAGGTAACTGGTTTCAGGTATCCTACTAGCTTGATGGTTTTCCGATAGGACCAGTTTCCAGATCAGTCTAATGGGAACTGTATAATTTGTAAATTTCATAAACCCATTTTTTATTCACAATGGAACAGAATAAACAAATCAACTGTTCAAGAAGTTGTTCAACTTTTTTTTTTGGGGGGGGGGGGGGGTAAAGTTAGTAAAATAAAATAATTAGTAAATCCATCTACTGCAGGTGTAGGTTGTTTTCATGATGGCCGTGTTCTGTGTAACTGTAAACACTTGTTGTTTTCTGTAGGTGGTCGTTAAACGGGAGCCTCTCAGTTCACCAGAGCCTGCAGATGAACACAGCGACGTGACGTCGCAGGCAGAAGGCAGCGACCCGGCTGAGCCTGGCTGTCAGGAGGAGGAGGAGAAGGTGGAGCTGAGTCCGGAGAGCAGCGACCGCAGCTTCACCTCTGAACCCCAGCCAAGCTCCGGCCCCCTGCTGCAGTCCAGCTCACAGCTTCTCCTCAAGAGCAGCATGGGAGGAGGAGGAGGTGGTGGAGGAGGCACTGGGCTTGGAGGAGATTATGGCTGTAGTAATGGTCTGAGTGGAAAGTCCAGTTTCAATATTTCCAGCTTCCTGGGGCAGAAGGATTTTGGTGGTGGCCGGTCAGGGATGGTTTCTGGAGAGGACGCTCTCCCCAACACGACGACAGGGGATTCTGTGTCTCATCACTTCCTGCTCAGACAAGACGCCGCCAGACCGTCCGGCTCTGCCTCTTCGTCTCTTCTGCAGTCGGGTCCGCTCAGTGGTGAGGGTGGAAACCACTTCGGAGAACCAGATTCTCTGTTCCTCCACCCCCTGCACGATGGTTTGGGAAACCCCAGAGGAAGTGGGAGTGGAGGTCGTGGAGGAGTGGATCCTTTTGGCTTGGACTTCCAGCGCTCTAGTCTGGGTTTTCACTCGCTGGGGCGCCCCTCGAGAGGGACGGGAGGAGCCTCCTCTCTGGGTTTTCCTAGCTACAGGCGCATCGCTCCCAAACTTTCCTCCGGAGTAGGAGGAGAAGAGAGAGTTAGTGGGGTTCTTCAAGACGCCGCCTCCTCCTCTTCTTCAAGTCTGACCAGCCCCCTGCTTCTCAACGAGAGCGGAGGGTATGAGATGAGCAGCGGCAGGTCCACCTCCCTGCCGCCTCAGCTCACGCGGGCTTCAGCAGACGTCCTGTCAAAGTGCAAGAAGGCGCTCTCGGAGCACAACGTCCTGGTGGTGGAAGGGGCACGAAAGTACGCCTGCAAGATCTGCTGCAAGACCTTCCTCACCCTGACCGACTGCAAGAAACACATCCGTGTCCACACGGGAGAGAAGCCCTACGCCTGTCTGAAGTGCGGGAAACGCTTCAGCCAGTCCTCCCACCTGTACAAGCATTCAAAAACCACATGTCTGCGCTGGCAGAACAGTAACATGTCCAACGCCCTGCTGTGAACAGCTGCAGGACTGAACTTTGGCTCCCAGGGTTTTTTTTTTTTTAAGTTCTGATAGAATTATTGGATTTCATCATCTGCTTTTTCCAAATCAAACAGTCCAGATCAAAGACCAAAGATGGGGATGATCACAGGATGACGCATTTCTGGAAAAAGCACATACTGTCAATTTTACCATATCACAAATACATTCTTTTTTTTAGATAAACGATATGTGCAAAACAAGTATAGGTGTGATTCATGATGCAGCAGATACTGAAGTATAAACTGTGAATACCACGAGGTTCATGAGGTTTCTCATCAGAACATGGACTTTGTGTTGACAGATTCAGGCCAGATTAGGCTGACAAAATATAAAAAAGAGATATTGATGTCGTCTTGGTGGAATTAGTTATAACTACACGTGGAGGTAAACAAGTTCCAGTCTTTACTGACATGTGCAACACTTGCGTGAGGCTTATGTTTTCATTGCACGTTAGCAAAACGCGCCGCAGCGTCTCGCCTCAGTCGTTCCAGATGTGCATCGTGACTACCTGTTTCAAAGCATGGAGTCATTAAGAGGTGTGTGTTCGTGAAGTTTAATGTTCAGGAAACGGGTTGAGTAAAGCTCAATGCTGTAGGCACAGGATGCAAGCAGATGAAATATTAAAAAACTTTAAACAAATAAAGATCTAACATCCTTGAAGAAATGCATATCGCCCGCCACCTTGTGCTGAGAAATGACGGAGCTGCTGCTGTTTTAGTCAAATCTTGAAAACGTTATTCGAAATCTTGTGTGGTATCGAGATGCGACACTCGGAGCATGTGTTGTGGACAACTCTCAGCTACTACCACATCAAAATTAACAGAGCTGCAGCCATTTTCGTGTTGGCTCTTGCTGGTTAGTTGTGACGTCCCTCTTGAAAGTGTCGTTTAAATCTGTACATTAGTTCATGAGATATTTTGCTAACAGACAGATGACTCCAGATGGTTAATGGCAACATTTTGAACAGAGGTTCTGAATATGTGTTACGGATGAGTCTCATCTATTAGCACACTAAATTAAAGCTCAGTTTTTGTAAAACTTACTGAGTTGGAGCCATTTTTGTTTTAAAGTGTTACTTGTGGCAGCCATCTTGAATCAAGTTGACTCCAAACGGGCATCAGTTGTAGACGACCATCCGGTGATAACGTTTTCAGTTTTAATCAGATTTGTTCAGCGGTTCATGAAATATTTTGGTAACAAACGCATCATAAACGCTGTCGACCATCTTGGCCCCTCTCAGCGTGGACTATAAATCTTAATTTACTTCTGAGAACAGACGAATAAACAACAGAATGTAAACGAGTACCTCACGGTGGATTTTCAAACGTGATCAGTTCTAAATCAGGATGTGAGATTTTAAACTTTCACTCCAAACATTAAAAATAAAAACGCTTGTAGTTCACCTTTATTATAATTATTTTTTAATTAAGAAGTGTAATCAGGACTAAAAGTAAAGGGTCATTTTGCATCAAAACCTCCATTTAAACTGAACATTTTATTTATCAGCTATAAGATGCTGAACCGCACCAACATGTTTAATACTGAGATCTTCACTGTAAATACATTTATTTACAGTTTATCATGCTGTCTGACTGACAACCGTGTGGCACTACACAAGTTTCTGCTGTGGCCAAAATAAAAACAACTTGGTAAATGTTCCTGCAGTCACAGGTGTGAAGTTGTTTCCTCCTCGAACGCTTCAGACTTGTTCAGGTTGGCTGATGTATTAGACGTGCTTTTTGTTTCTTTCTGCAGTTCTTGTCATCTGAATCAGCAGCACTTGAACCAGTCAGCCTGTTTATGACCAGTATGTTTACTGGGACGTTGAGCTATGGTGGCCATGTTGGTCCAGATCTTTCCGTGTGTTGGTTATGAAAGCCAAGAGTTCAGGAGTTTTGTTCCTCGGTGAGTCATGCATGCACTATTCTAGTGAAGACAATGTTCTATATTATTTTAATAGCAGGACCTGGCTGTTTTTTCTCAATTGTTTCAGGCATTTTAGTATTTTCTTTGTTCATTCAGCCAGTCGAAGGTCAAAGACGTGCTGAGAAGCAGTTGTGTGCCAAACCTCCTGCAGGTTGTAAATAGGTGCGTCGTGTTGTACAGTTCTGTTTCTGTGAACCCAAGTGAAACATCAGATTTGCCTTTTCTTATTCCGTGTCGTTGCTTTCAGTCTCGTCAGCACCTTACCGTAAAGTCCAAACACTGTTGGTCTGTAAAGTGCACACTTTGATCTGTCACATCTTAACGTGTGTTCAGACTGACCGACGGTGGTTAAACGTCCCTCGCATGATGGAGCCGGGCGGCTGCCGTGTTCTTATGAAGGACGAGGTGATAAGATAAAAGCATCCTCTGAAGCCTGATGGGAATCTTAAAGAAATAGTTCAGACTTTTTTTTTATGGATCTCTGCAGATGGATTATGACCCAATATGTTATTTGTTGTAGACAGCCCTTAGTTTGTCCAAACTGACAAAGTTCAGAGTTCTGTCTAAAATGAACAGCAGCAGCTGGTTGTAGCACTTCTGTTGCAGCCTGGAGCTCTTCCTGCAGGAATATCATCCTATTTTTACTGGAATACCCCCAGAATGTGACACTGATGTCAGAGTTCATGCTCAATAATCCAGGTATAAAATCCAACAATGTTCAGTCAGGTCATCTGGAAACTGTCCAGATGACCTGATGGTTTATAAACAGCATTTGCATGAACAGCTATACAGGTGCATCTCAAACAATTAGAACATGAACAGGTTAATGTTTTTGTCAATTCTAAAAGTAAAACTCATTTATTATCTAGGTTCTTTACACAGAGTGGAACATTTCAAGCCTTTATTTCTTGTCATTTTGATGATTATGGCTTACAGATGATGAAAAACCACAAAATGAGAATATTGTGCAGATGTTCATCATTACAGACTCCTGGTGTCTCACCCTGATCAGCTGATTAACTCCTGGACATGAGCTGTGAATGTGTCATTCCTCAAGTCCAGCCACTCCTGGACTAGAGACAACATGAGAAGTGTCTTACCTGCTGAGGAGACAGAACTGGATTGTTGCTCAGAGGTCCAATGTCCTCTTTTCAGATGAAAGTACATTTTCACGTCATTTCTGGAGGAAGAGTGGAGAGGTCCAGAATCCACGTTGTTGAAGTCCAGAGTGGTTTCCACAGTCCGTGGTGGTTTGAGTCCATGTCCTCTGCTGGTGCTGGTCCACTGTGTTGTCTGAAGTCCACAGTCCGCACAGCATCTAGCAGGACATTTTAGAGACTTCATGCTTCCTTCTCAGCTTTTGGACGTGCTGGTTTCATTTTCCAGCAGGACTCGGCACCGGCCCACACTGACACAGTACCAACAGCTGGCTCTGGAATATTATAATGTTCTGAGACACTGAGTTTTTGTTTTTCATTATTTGTAACAAATAATCATCACAATTACAGGAAGTAAAGGCTTGAAATGTTTAACTCTGTGTAATGAGTTTATATAAAATATGAGTTGTATTTTCTGAAATGACTGACAGACAAATGAACGTTTAGACAATGTTGTAATTGTTTGAGATGCACCTGCACAGTTTTTAAATGGGAACAGTTTTAAGATGGCAGCAAGCGGACCCCTTTGGTCTTGGCCTCGCTCAGGCTAGCTGTTAGGTTGTCCATCTGGTCAGAATTAAACGTCATTTCTTTAATCGCAGGTTGATCAAAGAGCTGTGTACCTGCAGCAGGTCAGGTGTAACCAAACCCCATTTCAGAAGAGTTGAACTCTCTCTTTAACGGCGTTATATTAATGCTTTATGTTCATCTCTGAAAATGCACTGACCGTATAAACATGCCAGATTTGTAGAAATAAAATTTAACAAAAATCCAAGGCCTAAAAACTGGGTATTAAAATCACAGCCTTAAGCTGAGCTTTAGTTTGTCAACAAAACGTTTCAGGTTTATTTCTTCTCACATTGTGCAGCCATGAGATGGTTTCATTGTCTCTTAACTGTCTGAAGGTCATGAACGTTGTACAGTCCGTTCAGCTGTTGAATAAACTGAATAAAAACTGTAAAGCTCACCTTATTGACACTGTTTTGATGTAAAGACATGCTGATACAGACTAGAATACAAACCTACATTTATTCAAAAACATTTCACAGCTTGAGCTCTGTGATCATCGGCTGCCCCCGCAGGCCGAGCAGGAGGTTGTTGGCTGCCAGGGCGGACATGGCGTCCCGGGTGGTGTAGGAGGCGCTGGCAATATGTGGAAGGATCACTGCAGGGAGGGGGGGGGCACAGTTAACAGGATGAAGTAATAATGATTTGGTGTGTGGTTGGTAGTAAAGTCTGTCCGACTCACCGCAGTTGTTCAGGGTGAACAGAGGGTGGTTGGTGGGGAGGGGCTCGGGTACGGTGACATCCAACCCAGCTCCTGCTATCTGTCCTGTGGACAGAGCCTGATAGAGGTCCTCCTGGTTCACCACCCCCCCTCTGACAACACAAAGACTTGTTGACCAACACTTCATGCTGCTGGAGGGGTCAGACATGGCTGGCCCTCACTGACCCCTTCATCGGATGTTCAGCTGATAAAGGTACTGCTCAAAACTTTAAACCATTTCCATTTAAAAAATACATTATTCAGTTGTAGATGTACATCAAATGATTATTTCCTGGAGGTTTTATTCAAATCTATCCAGTAGTTCAAGACATATTTTGCCAACACACACTTCAACAAGTTAATTGCAACATTTTAGCAATAATCTAACTCAATTAGTTGCCGCTCAAATTATTTGTTGGGGATCAGTCTTGGTTACAATCACACCAAATTTCTGGTTGAGTCCATTTTGTGTTTTTTTAAGGTCAGTTGACTGATTCAGTCGTCTTGAATCAAATTAACTCCAAATGTTGATCAGTCGTAGATGTATGTTACTTTCAATGATTACATTTTAGGATTTCTTTCAAATTCATCCGGAGGTTCGTGAGATAATTAAAGTGTAACACAACAGAGCTGTGATTCAGAGCGGGTACCTGCTTGTGTTGACGAAGATGGAGGTTTTTTTCATTTTGGAGAAAAGGTTCTCGTTGCAGATCTCTCTTGTCTCTGGTGTTAAAGCACAGCACACAGCCAGGAAGTCTGACTGCTTTGCCAGCTCATCCATAGAGACTAGAACATCAAAACAGGGTCGATTTAAATTAATATCTGTCGGACTGTTGTCATCCCCTTCACTGTATTCCTGTAAGAATGACCTTTACTTTAGAAATGACAGTACTCTAAATTCCCCCAAAAACCTATCTCCCTAAAAGTATACCAGGCCAGCTAAGTGACCATGATGTCTTACCGTACTCTGCATTGATGGCATTGGCCAGCTCAGGCCTGGGAGCCACATCTGTGTAGATAAACTTCTTGACTTTGAAGGGAGCCAGACGCTCTGCAATAGCCACACCTAGGAGAACAAGCACACACAGAACAACACATCTGGTATTCCCTGCAGGAAAGCAGATAACTGCATCTTATGCTGATAAATGACTGCGTTATAGTCAATTATGTCAAATGTTGAGTTCAAAAGTTAATCCAATGATTTGTCTCTGAGAATTTCATCAAAACATTTTGCTTGAAGACAGAAAACCAAACACGTCTGGTGCGATTCTAGAATCTGACCTTTAGGGGTGCTTAGCCCCCCAGTGCTGACAATGACTCTTGGCTTGAACTACACGGTGACCATTGATGTCAATAATGTGGGGGACACACACTAGAGGGGGAGTCTGGGGTCCTCCCCCAGGAATTTTTGAACTAAGTAGATGTCATTTCCTGCATTCTGGTACATTTTGACTGGTTGCTAAACCTCTGTTTACCTCCATAAGTACAGTGAGGCTGTGGCTGAGTGGCTAGAGCAGTCATCCTCCAATGCGAGAGTTGGGGGTTCGAATTCACCAGCAGTTACATGCTGAAGTGTCCCTGGGCAAGACACTGAACCATTCATTGCCTCTGATGTGTGTCCCATCGGTGTATGAATGTGATAAAGCACTGATTAGTCTCTTTCAAATGATTTGTTCAATTAGTTTTGTAGAGATCTAGTAGAGTGCTGTATGAAAGGGTAAATGAGGACACAGATTGTAGTGTAAAGCGCTTTGAGTGTCTTGATGAGATCGGCATTGGGCACTATATAAGTACAGTCCATTTACTATTTACAGTGAACACTTGAATCAATAACTATTTTCAAGTTAATGGCACAACAAGAAGTAGCCTGACCAACAGCTCTCCTTGTGTGAATAAAGCACGCTCCGCTTCTCTCACGCATCCTAACACCACCCCCCACCCTCGGTCGACAACTGTATTGCAGCGCGCACGATACAGATGCACTAGCTAAGATGCTATAGCACTCTGCTGCTCTCACGCACCCCCACCCCCCCCCCCCCCCCCTTTTACTTGGGGGCAATTTTAGGTCGCCGATTGTTCAGTTGCTGATGAGTCTACTGGACTGATTGATGGGTGGCATCATGAAAAAAACTCATAGTTTTTACTGGCCCGTTACGTGTCATTTATTCCATATTTATTCCAAATTCATTCAATATTTTGGTGAATCTAAGGTTGCAGAACTGAGTTTCCTTACAAAATCACAATAATGGTTTATTAATTTTTCAGGGGTGCTGAATTAAAATTTAAGGGTGCTTGAGCAATCCCAAGAAGAGGATAAAATAAAATCGACACTGAGCCACAGTCATAAGTGTTATCCCCCAAACTTTGCCTTTTTGTGGTGATTATAAAATATTATGTTGACAGAGATGGTGCTTCTGTGGGTTATACTCACCGATCCGTCCGAGACCCAGAATACCCACAGTGCTGTTGGCCAGCTCATATCCACACAACCACAGAGTTCTCCACGTGCCCCAGCCACCACTGACACAGAAGACGTATTGAAATATGTAATGGATTGCTGCGATCTGGTTAGTGAGTGATTAAAACATTACATCTTAGCTTCATGTGTGGCCTCGACGAGCCTCCTGGAGGTGGCGAGCAGCAGAGCTACAGTCAGCTCAGCAACAGCATCTGTCAGAACATCAGGGGTGTAACCTACACGGATTCCTCTGCAGAGAGACACACAGACACAGGAAGTCATGCACATGTACGTCACGGGAATTTTGCCTGTTAGTTGTGTTTAGGTGTGTTGAAGTAGCTACATGGGGTCCTATAGGTGTACACATGGAAGAACCTTGTGTCTCAGTGGGAAATAAAACAGCAGAAGTCACCTTTTCTTCAGCTCCTGCAAAAACAGATGATCATAACCCACAGACATAGTACTGACCACCTTCAGGTTTGGACCTGCAGATAAACATTAAGCATCAGCAAAAAGCCTGTTAAGAATGTTCAGGTTCTTCTTCTACAAAGTCAAAGACTGCAGACGTCATACCTGCTGCGTCCAGCAGCTCTGCATCAATCTTTTCTGTCAGCACGCAGAGCAGACCGTCAACACCTTTCACTTTCTCGAGCAGCTCCTTCCTCGGCACGGGGACATCGTCTGAGTTCCACAGCTCGAACTGCACCCTGAGACGGGAGGACACAAACCACAACTCTTTCTTCACCAGCCACAGAAGCTGATAAAACAGGTGATGCTCCCAGTTTGGCAGACGATACACCAAACTGTGGCACCTTTGTCAAAAGACTAAAACTTATATTCAGTGAGGTTTTTCTTTTGCACTTTGCTGAGGACATGCTATACAGGTATTGATGCATTTCACCAGCATGCAGTCAAATACTACTTGAAACAAACAAGCACTACTATTTTGACTCACTGTTCTGATTCCCGGAGGATCTTCAGTCCCTCAGGTGGGATCTGTCTGGTGACATACACCCGTTGCAGGGTCGACATCTCCCTCTGCACTTTAGCTGTTGCACCACCAGAGACACTCAAAGGAGCAACTGCGATCCTCTGGAGCCGACGCAGAGCCACACGACTGCTCCACATTTCCAAGAACGTGTAAGCTTGAGCTGGTTGTCTGTAAGATGAAGGAGGTACTTTGGAGTTTAGAGTGTGTTGAGGGCATGAGTACAAGTCTGACTGCAGCACTGGGGGAGGCTCCCCTCTAAGTCTGACCAATATGATTACAGGGAGGAGGCCTCTGAGGTCTGAAGGTGAGTTTTTTTTCCCCAGACAAACAAAAGACAGAAATCCGTGAGCATGATTTTTGTTGAGGTTTTACTGAATATGGAGGTCCTTTGAATTTCAGAATAACTTAATTTCAAAACAATTACACTCGTAAATGTTTAAACTGGTACATTTAACAGCAATAGTGCTGCACTTTTTCCTGCATCACCCACACAGAACTGGATTCAGACAGATGTAAATGTTTCACTGGGCTGCTGACCTTTGATTCAGCAAACAGTGGTGGACTCGCGCATCGTTTGTTCTTTTTGTTTAGACCGGTTCATAAGTTTTCCCTTAGTTTCCAAAGTTTAAGTGTACAGTGTTTAGTTTTAGGCATCAGAGATCTGTCAGACACTTGAGCAATGAGATGCTACACATTTGCAAACATGTCTACTGATTTATGTAATTACAGAATACAATGTTATGGTTTGAGCATTAAAAAAGCCCATTAAACACAATTTATTAAGGATGCCAATGCATAAGCACTGAAGCACTGAACTTCATGTAAAACAAATGCTTGGCCTGCATATTGTTGTGCAGCTTTGAACTAAAATTTGGGACTAGTGTGCCATGACTTTTGATAGCAGTAGACAAAAATAAAAAAGTAAAAAGCAAGAAAAAAATCTCAGAAAACGACAACACCCAAGTCTCTGTGGACTTCTGTTATATTCTAGGGCAAAATATTCTCCACAAATTTAGAATTCAGAGTTCTTAACTTGCCTTTTCTTCTTCTTCTTTTGGCTTCTCTCTCTTCTGGGGTTACCACAGCGAGTCATCCTCCATCTCACTCTGTCCTCTTCATCCTCTGTCCTCACTCCAACTACCTCCATGTCCTCTCTAAATTCAGATGAGTGACTATTAGCATCTTCTGACACTCACAATTTAAGAATATGCTAGAGTATATCACATTCTGCCTAACTTGGCAATGAGTGTGTGTCAACAAGATCCAATGAAGGGAATACAATTGAAGAAGGAGGAAATAAACCCCTTACGGAGAATAGTGACACCTTAATAGCTTGAAAAACAATGACAAACTGTGCAAGGCTCACAAGATAAATGGATTCTTAAAGTGTCTAATTCTCGGTAATCAAAAGGTTATGATTTTTTATTAGACAGCTGACCAACCAAAACACCAAAACTTCTCAAAACAGCTTTAATGAATAACAACAAATTATAAAAATACATTGTGATTTTTCATTCAACCTTTATTTATACAGGTTAATCCCATTGAGCCTCGAGGACTCATTTACAAGAGAGACCTTGTTATTATTTTTATTATTGCATATATCAAATTTGACATGACAAAGTGATTCTGAGTTTTAAGACTTCAATAAAGATCAAATCATTTTGACACGATTATTTCTTGCCATTCTCAGCTCTGTGAAATCATTGGATGACTGCGGTCATGTGATCTTCTTAACCCGGAAGTACTCCAAGTTTTTAACCAGTCACAGCCATTCATTCGCCGTTACTCGTCGTGCATACTGTCAGAAATCTGCGTAAGACTTTCAGCCTTATTTTAACGGTGTTAAACACATTTTACTCGTTGTTTTATTGCTTTTACTTTGGCTAGAAGAGGTAACTAATTTGGATGTTGTTTTGTAGCCTAACAAAGGTGTCGACGAGTTTGTTAGAAGCGCTTGCTACCGGTGTTGTGCCGAAAAAAGCACCCCTGCCGGCAGGAGTGACATTCGCTGCTAGTTAGCTGAAGCTGCTAACACTGAGTTCTTCTGAGCAGCCTATTAAATTGTATCACCTTAATAAGGATGTGAAGTTTTCATGTTTAATGGGAAGAAGCCGATGTCAACAACACGGCTGGCGGTGACAGTTAGCCACGTAGCTAATTTAAAGCTGGGCGTTGGTTCAAAATCATTACGTTAAACTTGAAACAGCTCGCAGAGCCTCGATAATCCGGCACGTCAATGTTTATGTTTATTGTTTTAGGTGGAGTCTCTCAGTGAACCGGCTTAAGCCCCTTTCCCCTCCCAGCATGGCTTCAGATTTGATGGAGATTGACGACTCCCTGTACAGGCAAGTTTACCTTAATATGGCGACTGTCAGGTGCATTTACTTCACCTTCTTTCCAACTCATTCTCTCCTCCTTTTGTATTCCTCCCTCCAGCCGCCAGCGATATGTGCTTGGAGACAGTGCTATGCACCAGATGGCCCAGTCCTCAGTCTTTCTTAGTGGAATGGGAGCAATGGGTGTAGAGATAGGTGAGCCTCACAAAACTGTTATAAACACACTAATCAAATAACCTTCATAAATAACTGAATTTAGCATAAACACTAATTGTCTTTTGCATTTTTCTAGCTAAGAATATTGCTCTGGCAGGCGTGAAGGTAGACACACTATAACTAACCTCCCAACTTCCTGATAGTTTCTGTATGCACAAATTGTGTGTGTGTGTGTGTGTGCTTTCTGTAGACAGTTACGCTTCATGACACGAAGCAGTGTGAAGCCTGGGATCTCGGCTCCAACTTTTTTATCCGCAAAGAGGACGTATCGAGCCAAAGGAGGAGGTAATGCATGCAGCATGGAAGGACTGCTGTGATTCTGTGAACACCCGAAACGGTGTTGATGAACTTTTAGAGCCCAGAAACAACTTCAGTGAGCCTTAAGTGTTGACTCTAGATGTTTGTGGAGCAGCAAAGCACTGTTATTCCTAAAATATGTTGCCACAGTAGGTGTTTTGAGGATGATGCGTAATGCACGCTCTGTGGATTTGAAAGCGAATGTGTGTAGGCTTTTTAAATGTCTGTTTTGAAGCTCTGGGCTGTTTTTAGTACTGCAGAGGAAATGAACGATGCTTGTAATTTTCTGTCTACATTGGGCTTGAATTTGAGTGAAAACAAAATGGAAATGTAAGTAAAGATGACCAAAACTAGTCCCTTTTTAATGTTTTTGTGATGAGTCAGTCAGTGCTGACCAGGATTATTATCTAAACTCAGAAATAGATGTTCGGTCATTCTTAACTTAATCGGTCAAAAGAAAGCAAGCGTTCAGGTTTTTGTCTATGCATTTGTCGTCTCTGTTAAGAGACACAGGTTTGCTCTCCTTGTCCTTGTACACTTGTTTACCCAGACTCTCTTGTTGCTCTCACAGGGTGGAGGCAGTGTGCCCTCGGGTTGCAGAGTTGAACCCTTATGTCCAGGTTGACGCGTCTTCTTTACCTCTGGATGACAACACGGACCTGAGTTTTCTCAGAAAGTATCAGGTAAGTCGACTATAATAATACATTGTGATTTTTTTTCATTCAACCTTTATTTATACATGTTGATCCCATTGAGCCTCGATGACTCAGGCTGTTGTTTGTAGTGAACCTCTTGGCTCGTTTACATTTTGATTAGATGAAAAAGGTGTCGAGCACTCGTCTCCCGCTGGTTATAAAGAGCTGAATGTTTGCTGATTATTGAAACTGAGAAGATTGTTGCTGTTTGTTTTCAGGAACAAATGGAACCCGTTGTGTGCAGCTACTGTAGTTTTCAATACAAAGTAGTTGCCGTAATGGGAAAAGTTTCAAAAAGTAAAAACGATGCAGTGCATTGATGACACTCTGATGTGGACCTCAGTTAATATATACAGTGCTTTGTGAAAGTATTCGTCCCCCTTGAACTTTTCAACCTTTTGCCACATTTCAGGCTTCAAACAAAGATATAAAATTTTATTTTTTGTGAAGAATCAACAACAAGTGGGACACAATCGTGAAGTGGAATGAAATTTATTGGATGTGTCAAACGTTTTTAACAAATAAAAAACTGAAAAGTGGGGCGTGCAATATTATTCGCCCCCCTTGCGTTAATACTTTGTAGCGTCGCCTTTTGCTGCAGTTCCAGCTGCAAGTCTCTTGGGGTTTGTCTCTATCAGTGTTGAACATGGAGACACTGAAATTTTTGCCCATTCTTCTTTGCAAAACAGCTCGAGCTCAGTGAGGTTGGATGGAGAGCGTTTGTGAACAGCAGTTTTCAGCTCTTTCCACAGATTCTCGATTGGATTCAGGTCTGGACTTTGACTTGGCCATTCCAACACCTGGATACGTTTATTTGTGAACCATTCCATTGTAGATTTGACTTTATGTTTTGGATCATTGTCTTGTTGGAAGATAAATCTCCGTCCCAGTCTCAGGTCTCTTGCAGACTCAAACAGGTTTTCTTCCAGAATGGTTCTGTATTTGGCCCCATCCATCTTCCCATCAATTCTGACCATCTTCCCTGTCCCTGCTGACAAAAAGCAGGCCCAAACCATGATGCTGCCACCACCATGTTTGACAGTGGGGATGGTGTGTTCAGGATGATGAGCTGTGTTGCTTTTACACCAAACATATCGTTTTGCATTGTGGCCAAACAGTTTGATTTTGGTTTCATGTGACCAGAGCACCTTCTTCCACATGTTTGGTGTCTCCCAGGTGCTTGTGTCAAACTTTAAACAACACTTTTTATGGATATCTTTGAGAAATGGCTTTCTTCTTGTCACTCTTCCATAAAGGCCAGATTTGTGCAGTGTACGACTGATTGTTGTCCTATGGACAGACTCTCCCACCTCAGCTGTAGATCTCTGCAGTTCATCCAGAGTGATCATGGACCTCTTGGCTGCATCTCTGATCAGTCTTCTCCTTGTTCCAGATGAAAGTTTAGAGGGACGGCCGGGTCTTGGTAGATTTGCAGTGGTCTGATACTCCTTCCATTTCAATATGATTGCTTGCACAGTGCTCCTTGGGATGTTTAAAGTTTGGGAAATCTTTTTGTATCCAAATCCGGCTTTAAACTTCTCCACAACAGTACCTCGGACCTGCCTGGTGTGTTCCTTGGTCTTCATTATGCTCTCTGAACAGAACCCTGAGCCTATCACAGAGCAGGTGCATTTATACAGAGACTTGATTACACACAGGTGGATTCTATTTATCATCATCAGTCATTTGGGACAACATTGGATCATTCATAGATCCTCACTGAACTTCTGGAGTGAGTTTGCTGCACAGAAAGTAAAGGGGCAGAATAATATTGCACACTCACTTTTCAGTTTTTTATTTGTTCAAAAAGTTTGACACATCCAATAAATTTCATTCCACTTCACGATTGTGTCCCACTTGTTGTTGATTCTTCACAAAAAAATGCAAATTTTATATCTTTATGTTTGAAGTCTGAAATGTGGCAAAAGGTTGAAAAGTTCAAGGGGGCTGAATACTTTCGCAAGGCACTGTAGTGTCTGATTGTTGTGCTTTCTGCTGCAGTGTGTGATTTTGACAGAGGCCAGTTTGAGTTTACAGAAGAGGGTCAATAATTTCTGCCACACACAGCAGACCCCCATCAGAGTAAGTTTACTGTCTTGAGTGTGTTTATACATAACGTTGCAGCAAAATTGTGTTTTACACATTTTTGGGGAACTGCGACTCCTGTGTATTAACCAACTGTGCATCTTTTTCCACCAGTTTATCAGCTGTGATGCATATGGCATCTGCGTGCGAGTGTTTTGTGATTTTGGAGAAGCGTTTGAAGTGTCTGATCCCACGGGAGAGGAGCCCAAGGAGATTTTCATCCAAAGTATTACTCAGGTAGGGACATTCTTTGAATAATCTCTAAAATAATATTTAGAGTTGTTTCTTTGTTAACCACATAATACTGATTATCCGTTATCAGTTTGTTAATCATAAAAATTAAAAGTTCTTTATCGGCACACTGACAGTCCAGGGAAGGTGGGGGTTACATTTTTTCCTCACATTAAGGAAGAAAAGAAGCCCCAATTTTGAAAAATCTAGGAAGAGGTGTTAAAAACTAAATTATATTTACATCAGGGGCCTCAATTTGCTCTGAACACCAGGATAAATATACAAAAATTAACAAGACACAGCTGATTGACAGCACAGAATTGTAACACAATATTTTGTCCCCTATCGCGGAGTGAAGAAGGGGAATTGGAAATACCCTCCATCCTTCCGTTAGTCCATCTGTTTATGCATGTATGTTGTGATCTTGATAACTTGAAACATTGTCAACTTCCATTTTGGTACGTTGCTGCATCTATTCATAAGAAGGGTCACTGTTGAAAACTGGGTTGCCATGTCAAAATCTAAGATGGCTACCACCATATATGAATACTGTATGTAAACCTTGTGAGTTGGATCATTTCAAAAGTAAGCAAAGTGCTGACCTCCATTTTGGTGTGTTGCTGCATCTGGGTGTAAAAATGGTCACTGTCTAAAATTTGATTGCTACGCCAAAATCTAAGATGGCTACCACCATATATGTAAACTAACCTCCCCTATCATTTGAGGAAACTATGCCTTCTAGTTTTTATTATGTATAGTTTCCTCAAATAACTGGGGTGGCCAAAAATTAATCTGTGGTGGCCACCCTCTGCCTCTGCCAGTGTGCCTGGTCGTGGATGAAGTTGCTCCCATCACTCTGCGCCTTTGGACAATGAAAAAAAACAAAACAAACTATTTTCATTCTTATACACAATGTAACTCCTATTCCGTAATATAAATATATTTTACACTAAAAACATTAAGTTTACTTGCATTCCCTGTAGAGATGCACAGATCCGAAACCAGTATTGGTACCGGTATCGGAAACACTTTTGGATCGGGTATCCATGACAATGTGACCGATCCATGACTGGACAAATCTATTCACTATAATTCTATGTTTTGTGATCTGAGTGACATCACGCTGTAGCGTACTGACTGAACAAATTAAAGTTGTGTTGTTTTTACATGTTTTGACTAAGCTCGTGAAGCTCTTGATGTGTTTAAGTGTGCTGTTATGGTGCAGAGTTTTCAATAAATTTCTAATTCAGTACATTCATCTCTGCGTTTAACAAAACAAATGTTTTAAGTTAATTCAGCACTGGGTTTGTAAGCTCAAACATCCAGGTAGGTAGACAACAAAAATGGCTAAATTATGCCATCTGGGTCCAGATGACATAATTTAGCCATTTTTGTTGATTCAGCACTGTTTTTTTCTGTACCAGACTGTATAGGATCGGTATCTGTCGATACCAAACAGCATATATCGGTATCGGATCGGAAGTGAAAAAAAAAAAAGAAAAGAAAAAAGTGGATCGGTGCATCCCTAATTCTCTGTTCAGTTCTAGTCAAAACTACCAACATTCACTATCCAAATCCCTCAGTGATGGGGGAGATGTCGTACCGCTTGTTTTATGCATTAAATAATTCTTTAAAGCATTTTGTTCATTTTTGTTTGAGAAAAATGAAAATGAAATGATTAGATTTTGATCTTGACTAAATAAATATTTTTAGATAGGGATGCACAGTATTATTGGCATGGTATCAATATCGACCGATATGGGCAATAAAGTTAAATATCGGACATCGACCATTCCACCAAAATTACTCACCAATATAAAAGGCGCTGTTTTTGTTATATATTTTATAAATATGTATTATATATTTATATAGTGTTACATCATTTTCAGCCCCTTTTTGGCATTGTATTTGGTAACAGCCAAACTGACAAAGACCATGCAGCATAATGTAGTATTTTAATTCCACAGCAGAGAAAGCTATGTAGTCTCTGTAAGTAGGTCTAGAAAAAGTATTCGTATCGGTTATCGGCCAAATAATTTTTAACATATCGACATATCGGATATCGGCCAAAAATTCAATAGCATGCATCCCTATTTTTAGCTACTCTGACATTTTGAAGCTCTTTTAATTTCAGTGTGGCATTTGAGGTTATGGATGAACATGTTTCCATCCTAAAACGGTGACATTAGTTCAGAAATGTTGCAGAAGGAAATCTCCAGTTTAGCCATGCTAACATTAGCTAGCTAAACGTAAGTTAAAACAACAGTAGGTGAACATTCACCCTCAGACACTTCACACAGCCTAATTCAAAAGAAAAAAAAAGGAAAAAGCATTAGAATATGTGTTGACTACTTATTTTGAGTCTTTCTGGCTCGTGTCTTGAATATTATGTGTTTGGGGCTCAGCAAGTTCAACTGCTGGTGATGACAATAATAGGAGGCTGTAAGGCTTAAAGTTGGTATCATATACTTTATGACTGCATAAGAAAACTAAGCTGCATGAAATATGATTACAGCTAAAATATGAAAATGTTCCCCTGATCAGTCTTGGGGATGTCAATCCTTCCTTCTTCCCCTGGTGAAACCATACGTGTCTCCTCTCATTTTATCAGGACAATCCAGGGGTTGTGACCTGCATGGACAACCAGCCCCATGGCTTCCAAACTGGCCAGAGAGTTGTGTTCAGAGAGGTCGGGGGCATGGTGGAGCTGAACGGTTCCACACGGCCAGTTACAGGTAACGTGCCAAACTCGTACGATTCATCAAATACAGCCTACCAAAACTTAAATGATCAACTTTTATACAAGAAAAGAAGTAAAACAAATCTTTTTGAAACACGTTTGTCTAATTGTGTGTGTTTGTGTGTATTAGTGCTTTCCCCCCATACTTTTGAAATCGGAGATGCGTCGCAGCTCCAGCCATACACATATGGAGGTTTTGTTGTTCTGGTTAAAAGTCCCAAGACATTCATATTTGTAAGTTGTCTCAATAAATGTCACATTTGGATCAAACAGAAAACGTCTGCTTTGAATCCATTGTCTTAAATATTTGTGTGTTTTAGGAAATGTTAGAACAGCAGTTGTGTGAGCCTCAGGTCCTGATTCCAGACTTCAGCAAACCAGAGGTGAGAGTGGTGAAAAGAATGAAAAGAGGGAAGCTAGTATCTCAAGAGGAAGCCTATCGGCCATTTAACCAGATACTTTTCTGCTTAAATCAGGTTGAGTCAGTACCATGGCCTTTGTACGCCTATAAAGAACAGTAACGAAAGTTACGTGTGTAACTACGGTTCTATGAATCCCGGATGACTGCCAGAGGGCGGTGCTGAAAGCACTGAATGTTCCCTTCGCGCATGCGCTGTCGAGTAATAATACCAATGGAGTCACAGGTGTGACACAGATTAGCAATCAGCGGCTATATAGCCTGACGTAATCCGCAGCTCTGCTCCTAAAGAAGCTTCTCGCGAAATGCAAGGATTCTGAGTGACAGAGAAGCTCTGGCAGTCATCCGGGATTCATAGAACTGTGGTTACATATTGTTCTATTTCATCCCTCCTGACCACCAGAGGGCGGTGCTAAAAACACTGAATGACTAATACCGAGAATGTCACAAGGAAATCTGAGCACACACCTCACTGAGGAGGCCCAGAGGACCCTTGCAGAAAAACCTGGCCCAGGGGATGAAGGGTGGCCACGTTAACGCTGTAAAATCTGGTGAACGTGCTTGGGGAAACCCATGATGCAGCAGCACATATTGCTTCCAGCGGAACCCCTCTCAGGGCAGCCCAGGAAGCGTAAATGCTCCTGGTAGTGTGCCTTCATGCCGACTGGCAGGGGGCCGTGCCCTGCAGCATAGGCGTGGCAGATGACATCCACGATCCAGTGGGAGAGGCACTGTTTGGAAAGAGAATTGCCCAACCTAGGGCCTTCATAACACACAAACAGCTGGTCTGAACGTCGTATAACGGCAGTATCTGCAACGTATGCCTCCAGTGTCCTCACTGGGCACAATAATCCAGACTCTTCGCCAGGCATAGGCTGAAAACGTGCCAGCCTCAACGGTTGTTACAGTGAGAGTGAGATAACACCTTTTGGTGCAAATGCAGTGTTTGGCCACAAGGTAACACAAGAGCCCTCAGGGCCCCACCTGAGACATGAGGGGCTGACTGAGAGAGCATGTAGCTCGTTGACCCTCTTTGCTGAGGCAATAGCCAACAAAAAAGCCATCTTACATGAAAGCCACTTGAGGTCCGCCTGCGTCAGAGGCTTAAACGGAGGGTGGCACAGAGCTTCGAGAACCAAGGTCAGATCCCAACCTGGTGCTCGTGGAGCCGTCGGCGGGTGCAACCTACGGGCACCACGCAGAAGAAGGGAGACTAGATTATGGTTCCCCACCATACAGCCATCAATGCTTGCGTGATTAGATGATATTGCTGCTACATAAACTTTTAAGCGTCGAAGGAGAGCGACCCTTACCAAGGAGAAACTGGAGAAACTCCAGAATGGTGGGTACTGTACAGGAGACTGGATCCTCATTGTGATCAGAACACCGTTGGGAAAACAGACGCCACCTGTTTTCGTACTGCTGACGAGTAGAGGGTGCCCTGGTGCCCAGGATGGTGCGTCTGACGGGGCTCAAAACTCTAGTCAGCTGCTGTCTTAGCCTTGCATTGACCACAGCCGAAGATGTTGAGGATTGGGGTGCCATATCTGTCCCCCCAACTGAGACAGAAAGTCCCTCCTGGTCGGAAGACACCATGGGACGCCCTGACATAGACTGCGTAGCAGTAGGAACCATGGTCGTGCTGGCCAATATGGAGCCACCAGCAGCATCCTGTGGCCCTCCTCGAAGACTCTGAAGGGTTGGCCAAATTAGAGAAATGGGTGGGAAGGCATATAGGAGCTTTGGCCAAGGATGAGCCAATACATCCTGGCCCAGCGCACCTGATGCCCCCGTAAGGGAGTACCATAGGGGACACTGAGTCGACTCTTCTGTCGCAAACAGATCTACTTCTGCCTGACCAAAACGGTCCCAGATCATCAGTACTATGTCGCTGTGGAGGGACCACTCTCCCGGAGCAGACCCCTGGCGGGAGAGAAAATCTGAGACCTGATTGTGTCACCCTGGTAAGTATGCCACCCGCAGAGTGGACAGGTGAGGAGAGGCCCATTTCAGGAGCTCTCTGGACACTCTCAGAAGTTGTGCTGACCTGGTGCCCCCCTGGTGGTGGTTGTGATAGACAACAGAGGTGTTGTCTGACTGAACAAAAACATGCCCTCCTTCCAGATGGGGCAGGAAGTACCTGAGTGCCAAATGCACTGCACGCAGCTCCAGCACATTTATATGCATGGAGCGGTCCTTTTTACCCCAGCGGCCTTGAACCGCTCTACGTTGCCACACAGCGCCCCATCCCATGGAGCTGGCATCTGTTGTGACCACTTCCCTGCGACACACTACCACTCCCATGGGGACACCCCTGGACAAATAATCTTTGTCCCTCCATGGAGACAGGACATGAAGACATGACAATGCCACTGCAAACTTGCGATGCCTGTGCAGCCTAGCATCCAGGTGAAAGCTGTTGAGCCACCTCTGCAAGGGGTGAAGTGACAGCAGGCCTAAGGGCACCACCCGAGTGACTGACATCAGTTTGCCGAGTAACTGCAGGAAGGCAATGTAGGGGAGCTGCCTGCCCAGCCTGAACGACTGACCAGCTGGAGTATGCCGCCCACCCTTTGAGCGGATGGGCGAGCTATCATGGAGGGTGAATCCAGAACCACCCCAAGAAAGGTGATCGTCTGGGAAGGGATCTGGCAACTCTTCCCCAGGTTGACATTGAGGCCCAACTGGGACACATGGCAGCCAGAGTCCTTTGTCCGAGTCTGTCTAGCTGGTTGATGGACCGACTCACGAAAGCTCCTGTCTGGTCTCTGCTGAATCGCACGAGGGTAAAGACCACAGGCTTCCAAGGCAACCGAACAACTCCCCCGGCACCACTGGGACATTATGGAGTGTTCTACGACATGGCTTGATCAATGTTGACTGCGCCAACCAGACCTGTTGGCGAGCCTGGACCAAGAAGGCCATCACGTGCCCAAGTTCCCTCGTCATCAGTGCAAAGGCCTGGAGCGCTGCATCGCTAAAGCCCATTGCTGCTGTCGCACCGCTAGTCCCCTGAAGGGACGTGGAGAGGGCAAGCATGAGGTGCGCCATGGAATTGCCGAGGCGGCCAGCATACGCCCCGGCGCAATAAGCTCTGCAGAGGAATTCATCAGTGATGTGACACTGAGCTCGTGGGCACCAAATATCACTGCGCAGAGCCTCTTCTGGTGACACGATGAGCGAGGCAACAGCAGGTTCGATCGTCTGCATGCGATCCAAGCCCGCTGCAGTTGGCTCATGCATAGCCACCAACATTCGACCATCCGTGGAGAGGTGCACAAAGGCTTTTGGGTCCCGCCAGCAACCATGCAACTCCCTCAGGTACTCCTCGGATGGAGGGACGGAAAAAGGAGGGGCCCGTCCGCGCCTGAAGAAGGCACTTCCAGGGGTGGACTCCTCTGGTTGCAGGACATCCAGCTGCAGCCGTCTCAGGGCCATACGCATGACATCCTGCATCAAGCCGTCACCTGACCCACTAGCTACGCTCTGGGACGAAGAAAGTGAACCAGTCTCTGAGACTTAAGATGACTGCCCCTCCTCCTCACCTAAAAAGTGAGAGGCAGAGGCAGCCAAGGATAACGCATCCTCCTCTGCAGCCAGCTCAGGCATGGGTAGGGAGGAGAGTCCGGTCGCTGCCACTTGCTCAGTCCCCAGTTGGTGTGCCTGAAATAGGGACTTCATCTCCGCCAATTCTGAGAACAGCTGCTCCAACCTCGTGGAGAGGCCCTGATCAGACTTGGCTCGCCTCTTCCTAGGAGGGGCCACAGAGACTGTGGCCTCAGACCGGCACTTCAAGCACCTAGGTGGAGGTCACTGCTAAGCTCGGGGCAAAATTGGGCCAGCCGAGCCACCCTCACAGCATAAAGCTACAGTTCATACAGGGGTTCTCTGACAGTGCCTCCACCAGATAGTCACGTCCAAGACAGGCAGGACACAGGTCATGACAGTCATCTGCCTGGAGCACGGCCCCACAATCTGCAACAGTGAGAGCTGTTCATGCTCATTATTTTAGGCAGTTTACTCAAGTAAAAAAACTGCAAGTCAGCAAAGGGGCTGACTCCGCCAGATCTGTCCAGGATACAGGGCGAAAACAAGGACAAAAGGATAGGCCTAGAATTGGGAGAGGGGGCGCGTATGCTTGCCATCACCAATTAACAAGGCAAAGAAACTCAGACAGGCTAACGCCGTTAGCTCGGCTGGTAAAAAGAGGACAATTGGGAGAAGGGGGCACGAACGCTTGCCTTCACCAATTAAGACAAGGCCAGAACTCAGAGAGGCAAGTACCACTAGCTCAGTCCAACTGTGTATGAGGTTGGTGAAAATGACTGGGGAGTGGGTGCGCGAACGCAAGCCTTCACCAAAGAAAACAAGGTCAGAACGTAGGGAGGCTAGTATCGCTAGCTCGGTCCAACCTTCTTTGAGGTTGGTGAAAATGACTAGAGAGAGGATGCGCAAACGCTAGCCTCCACTAATGAAAACAAGGCCAGAAACTCTGCTGGCTACGTAATTAAATTTCGGAGCACAGTCCAACCGACCACACAATTGGAGGTCTCCAGCAAACGGGAGCGGAGCGAATGCTACTGCTAACAAATGGCGAAAAATAAGTAAAAAACGCTACTCACCAGTGTTGAATCACACACCTAGTAGTTATTAACAAACTTTGGAGCACAGTCCAACCGACCACACGGTTAGAGGCCTCTAACAAACGGGAGCGGAGCGAACGCTACATCTAGCCAATGGCAAAATATAAGTGAAAAAAACTATTCACCAGTGTTGAATCACACGCATAGTAGTCAGACGCTGTAAGTTGGGAGGGGGGCGGAAACTGCCGTAGACCCCAACGAACAGCAGAAATACCATTGAACAAGGTTAAACCGTCGCAGCCCCTAGGAAGGCGAACACGCTACTCCCGCCAACGGGCAGTCGGGCCTCCGACGACGGTGAAAAGTTCAAATATCCAAAGGGCTGAAACCCTGAATTGAACCGAGCGCGAGAAGAAAAAAGGAGCAGAGCTGCGGATGACATCAGGCTATATAGCTGCTGATTGGTCATCCGTGTCACACCTATGACTCCGTTGATATTATTACTCGAACAGCGCATGCGTGAAGGGAACATTCAGTGCTTTCAGCACTGCCCTCTGGCGGTCAGGAGGGATGAAATAGAACTGGCTGGTTTTGTGGTACATGCTGATTCACAAATACCAGAAGTCACTTGTTTGGTTTTGAGTTTCTTCTTCTCTTGTTTTAAATCTACCCATCAGGCCCCACTGCAGATTCATGCTGCCATGCTGGCTCTGGACAGGTTCCAGTATAAACACTGCAGGCTTCCCAACACTGGGTAAACAGAATTCATCTCTCTTTTGTCTTCTTCAGTCTAACATCTTTTCATTTTTATTATACACCTGTTGAAGGTGGACTTATTTTGGTGAAGTCTTCGTATATCAGTTAACTTTCTCTTATCTCGTCCATAACGTTTGATCCACTCGAGATAATTTAACAAAACTTCACACACACATGCATCATCACTAGGAGTGTTTCATACACGGGCAAGGTCACAAATCAAGGTCAAAGGTTGGACAAGGTCTGTGCTTGTCCAGTCCGTTTCTATAGATTGCTGTTTAATAGTTTGTCATTGGGCGTATAATGTGTTGTGAGCAGTTCTTTTATTATGCAATCCAGGAGGATCTAGTTAAAGTTTATGTGAAGCCATGCAGATGGTTCTAAACTTTTCATCTTGCTGTGTTTCAGGTGTTTACAGGATGCAGAGACTTTACTAAAACTGACTGAGGAAGTGAACACAACTCTTAAGAACAAAGTGAGCATTTCTTCTCTCTTCTATTGTTTCTTTTAAGGGATGCACAACAGCCCTCGACACATCGGCAGTCGCTTATAATCTGACGTTACTCCATCGTTTCTTTTCCTCGCCCTCCTTATTTAAAGGCTCCTGTGAATGCTGAGCTGGTGCGCTGTTTGTCTAGGACGTCCAGGGGAACTCTCCCTCCGTTAGCTGCAGCTGTAGGGGGAATAGCCAGTCAGGAAGTTCTTAAAGCCATCACAGGAAAGTTTGCACCTCTGCAGCAATGGGTAGGATACAATTAGAGGTGAAATGAAGCACAATGATGCTTTGTTGTTCCTTTTTCTTCCAGTTGAACATTTATTTTTTTTTGCCCTTTTTCTAACCTGTTTAGTTTTATCTTGACACCATCGAGCTCGTCAAGCCTCTTCAGTCTTTGGCCGTTGAGGAGTTTGTCCCAAGAGGTGATCGGTATGACGGGTTGCGAGCCTGCATTGGTGAATCTATGTGTCTTGAACTACACAAGCTCAGGGTCTTTATGGTAGGAAGTGCACTTTATTAAATGCATCCATTCAGTCATGTCTGCGTCTAAACAAATATCTGTTCTTTTAAGGTTGGTTGTGGTGCCATAGGTTGTGAGATGCTAAAAAACCTTGCCCTCCTCGGTGTGGGGTTGGCCAAGAGCTCAGGAGAGGTGAGCGCCTCCACTTTTTTTTTCTTTCTGCATTTCGGCACATTTTTATTTCTTGGTGTTATGAGCGTACTGCATCATTTCTCAGGTGTGCATCACCGATCCAGACCTCATAGAAAAGTCGAACCTCAACAGGCAGTTTCTCTTCAGACCCCATCACATACAGGTGAATACGTGTTTTTGAGTTTCACCCTGTCATGTTCACTGAAATCAACGCATTAATCAAATTTTCTGTTTCTTCAATTTCAGAAGCCAAAAAGTACGACAGCTGCAGAAGCCACTCATGACATCAACCCAGAGCTGCGGGTGGAAGCTCATTTAAACAAAGTGTGTCCAGCTTCTGAGAACATCTACAACGACTCCTTCTACTCCTCGCTGAACGTAGTGGTCACTGCGCTGGACAACGTGGAGGCACGGAGATATGTGGACAGGTGTGTGTGAATGATCCTCCCTTATTACAGTTTTCAACTCTGCACCTTTAAGTTTGGTATTAAGAAAGCTAAAAATAAAAAGTAAAGCAAAATGTCTTCTAGAATAAAGAGCAGTAGTTGTCAACAGGCGATCCCAGGGCCCAAATTTGGCCTCGGAGCTCTGGCATCTGGTTTATGAAGCAGTTATTTATTAATGCAAACTCAGTACAGGTCTGTTGTAGCCCTGAACAGAAACGGTTAATGACAGTGGTGTGTTTGCTTGCTCACAACGCACAATCAGGCCCAGCTCAGATGCTGGAACACAGCAGCAAGACAATGTACTGGTGATTTAGGCAAGCTGGTTTGCCTGCAAGAAGCTCTAAAATGTCAAAATGAGCCCCTCAAAACCAGCTGCTCACATGATGGTTGTCAGCAGCAAAACTGGTTGATCCACTCTGAGAAGGTGCTATTTATAAGACTGAGCTGAATACAGCACCTCAGACTGAGGAAGTCTTTCGGATGAAAGATGAAACTTTTCTCCATTTTTTGTTGTCGTTTTGTTTTGTTGAATGTCCAGAGGACCAGATTTAACTTTTTTAGATTTTTCTACCTGGATTATTGAGCATGCATCAGGATATTTTTACATGAAGGCACGGGTTTCAACTATGACTTTTGGAGCTTAGACAAGACTGAGGTTTCTTCCCCGAGGTCAGCCTGTTAGCTTAGCTCATAGCTTAGCTTCTCAGCTTAGCTGCTTTTAACGATCCAAAAACGCGATTTTAGATCGTTAAAACGGATTTTAAAGAGAAAAGAGAAAGGGACGGGTCAGTGAAGAGCACCAGGGTTGAGCTTTTTGTCATCCAGCGTCTTCAGTAGAAAGAGACACGAAGAAACGATAAAGCCGATAAATGAAAACGATGTTGATAATTTTCATTTATCATGTGATTAATTGATTTAATGTTTATCGCCACAGGCCAGGTGTGAACTTCTGAAATAATAACCATACTTTGTTTGTGTCTAAAGTATCAACTCTCAAAACACAGTAAAAACAAACTTTATCTCTTAGTCCACTGCTTTTTGTGCCTGCCATCAGAAATTCATGACACCTAACTCAAAACTCTGGTTCATTATTTTTAAATGGTTTTTTTTATACATTCTTTTCAACATTTATCAAAGTTTAAATTTTTTTTTTCTACTTCACATTTTTGCATGGAAAGTACCAAAAATATTGTCAATCTAAATGAAAATTTCAAAAAAATGTTTCAACAACTTTGGGAAAATTGAAAATGTGGTAAATATTCTGTTGTTGATGACTTCTGTCCTAGAATGACCCCGAGTCGTTTGCTAAGATTGTGTTTTGTACCTTCCAAAGTTCACTTGTTTCCTTTATTAATTTTACTTCACTCATGATAAGTTTTAATTTTGTAAATGTGTGATGTAGTTTAAAAGTGCTGGTGTTTGTTTCCAGCCGCTGTGTGTCCAATCAGAGGCCTCTCCTGGACTCGGGCACCATGGGAACCAAAGGACACACCGAGATCATCGTGCCAAACCTGACTGAGTCCTACAATAGCCATGTGAGTCTATGGAAGAGTCTGAGTTTCTGGCCTTGATTGTAGTTGACTTTAGTTTCTGGCATGTTTTAAATAGAATTATTACAGTTTTATCTCTGTCCTTCTGTCCTCCCAGAGGGACCCCCCAGAGGAGGAGATCCCATTCTGCACTCTCAAGTCTTTCCCCTCTGTTATAGAGCACACCATCCAGTGGGCCAGAGACAAGGTCTCACCACTTAGACCTACCCGGGTTCTTTTATTGTTTAAATAATTAACACATTTATTGTAATGTTTTAGAGACTTTAATCTCTTTTTTTAATCATCTAGTTTGAGAATGCTTTTGTTCACAAGCCCTCCATGTACAACTCCTTCTGGCAGATGCACCCCTCAGCTGAAGCGGTGCTACAGGTGGGCTTTTCTCTGACACAGATGTTGTTCTTCCTCATTCAGCACAACTGCAACTCTGGTGTGTGTGTGTATGTGTGTGCAGAGGATGCAGGCGGGGGAAAGTCTGGAGGGGTCATTCCAGGTCATAAAGCTGCTAAGCAGACGGCCCATTCAGTGGGAACACTGCATCACTATCGCCCGTCTGAAATTTGAAAAGTATTTTAAAAGAAAGGTAACCACCTAAAGTTACATATAAATGTAGAACATGGAGATATGGTGCATACTGGTATTACAAAGCTGCAGTTCATGTATGGTTTAAATCTGCTACTCTTTATGTAGGCCCTACAGCTGTTGCACTCTTTCCCTCTGGAAACGAGGTTAAAAGATGGGAGTAAGTTTTAAAAGTAGATTTTTGATCATTTATGACGTAAGAATCAGAAATGCAAAACTACAGAATAACTTTGTTCTAATGTTCTTTCTTCTAAGGTTTGTTTTGGCAGTCTCCAAAAAGACCCCCAACACCTCTGGAATTTGACTTGAAAGACCCCTTGTGAGTTGTTGCAGTTTGTGTCTTACTCTTTCACGTTTGTTTGAGTCAAGCTTACGAGACCTTCCTTTGTTTCCATCAGGCATTACAGCTTCATCATCAGCACTGCGAGGCTCTTTGCAGAGATTCATAACGTCCCCTACTCAGAAAAGGTACGTCACATACATGTGTGTTAAACACCATCAAATGCCCACATGTGCCGGTAATCACTTCCTGGGCTTCTTTTGTTCATCAGGATCTTTCTGAAGAGGTGGTGACCAAAGTTTTCTCCAGTCTCAAGATTCCTGAGTACAGACCCTCAGAGAAGGTAAGCTCCTCGGATGATTTAGTCTTTGGCTTTAGTGCCTGTGCTGGAGAAAAACTGATTACCGTAAACTGACTGGTGTTGATCTGCTAGTGTATAGAGACTGATGAGACTGCAAAGAAGCCCGATCAGATAAAGATGCCTCTAAGCAGCGAAGAGGAGAGGGAGGCCATCACACAGCTGGAGCAGGCCATCACCACAAACAAGGCCAAACCAGGTATTAACACATTTAGAAAGGGACGCTCATGTTTGCAGATGACAATTTGATCTATTGTGAGAACAGGGAACAGGTAACAGGTGGAAGAGAACTTGGAGAGGTGGAGGTATGCACTTGAAAGAGGAATGAAAGTCAGTCATAGTAAGACAGAGTACATGTGTGAATGCGAGGGAGGCTGGTGGAACAGTGAGGTCACAAGGAGCAGAGGTCACAAAGGTGCAGGACTTCAAGTACTTGGGGTCCACTGTCCAGGAAAATGAAGAATGTGGTAAAGAGGTGAAGAAGAGAGTCCAGGCAGGATGGAGTGGATGGAGAAAAGTTTTAGGAGTGATTAGTGACAAAAGGGTGTCGGCAAAGGTCAACGGAAAAGTTTACAAGACAGTGGTGAGACCAGCTATGTTGTATGGTCTGGAGACAGAGACATGGACAAAGACAGGAGAAAGAACTGGAAGTGGCAGAAATGAAGATGTTAAGGTTCTCCTTAGGATGGAGAAGATTAGAATGAGATCATCAGAGGTACAGCACAGGTTGAACAACTGGGAGATAAAGTTAGAGAGGCCAGACAGATGGTTTGAACATGTCCAGAGGAGGGACAGTGGGTAAACTGGTAGGATGTTAGATGTTAAAAATGCAGCTGCCAGGAAAAAGACTAAGAAGAGATACAGTGAGGAAAATAAGTATTTGAACACCCTGCGACTTTGCAAGTTCTCCCACGTAGAAATCATGGAGGGGTCTTAATTTTTCATCTTAAATGCATGTCCACTGTGAGAGACATAATCTAAATAAAAAAAAAATCAGGAAATCATAATGTATGATTTTTTAAAAATAATTTATTTGTGTGTTACTGCTGCAAATAAGTATTTGAACACCTGCCAATCAGCAACAGTTCTGGCCCTCAAAGACCTGTTAGTCCGCCTCTAAAAAGTCCACCTCCACTCCACTGATTATTCTAAATTAGAAGCACCTGTTTGAGGTCGGTAGCTGCATAAAGACACCTGTCCACCCCACACAATCAGTAAGACTCCAACTACTAACATGGCTAAGACCAAAGAGCTGTCCAAAGACACCAGAGACAAAATTGTAGACCTCCACAAGGCTGGAAAGGGTTACGGGGCAATTGCCAAGCAGCTTGGTGAAAAAAGATCAACTGTTGAAGCAATTATTAGAAAATGGAAGAAGCTAAACATGACTGTCAATCTCCATCGGACTGGGGCTCCATGCAAGATCTCACATCGTGGCGTATCAATGATCCTAAGAAAGGTGAGGAATCAGCCCAGAACTACACGGGAGGAGCTGGTCAATGACCTGAAGAGAGCTGGCACCACTGGTTCCATGGTTACTGTGGGTAATACACTAAGACGTCATAGTTTAAAGTCATGCATGGCACGGAAGGTTCCCCTGCTTAAATCAGCACACGTCCAGGCCCGTCTTAAGTTTGCCCATGACCATTTGGATGATCCAGAGGAGTCATGGGAGAAATTATGTGGTCAGATGAGACCAAAATAGAACTTTATGATCTTAATTCCACTCAACGTGTTTGGAGGACGAAGAATGATGAGTACCATCCCCAAAACACCATCCCTACTGTGAAGCATGGGGGTGGAAGCATCATGCTTTAGGGGTGTTTTTCTGCACATGGGACAGGACAACTGCACTGTATTAAGGAGAGGATGACCGGGGCCACGTAGTGAGAGATTTTGGGGAACAACCTCCTTCCCCAGAAACCTGGCTGATCTAGAGAAGATCTGTGTGGAGGAATAGACCAAACTCTCTGCTGCAGTGTGTGCAAACCTGGTGAAACACTACAGGAAACATTTGACCTCTGTAACTGCAAACAAAGACTACTGTACAAATATTAACATTGATTTTCACAGGTGTTCAAATACTTATTTGCAGCAGTAACACACAAATAAATTATTTAAAAAATCATACATTGTGATTTCCAGATTATTTTTTTAGTTTCTCTCACAGTGGACATGCACCTAAGATGAATATTTCAGACCCCTCCATGATTTCTAAGTGGGAGAACTTGCAAAGTCACAGGATGTTCAAATACTTTTCCTCACTGTATGTGGATGCAGTTGGAGAGGACAGAGATGGAGGAGGATGACTCTCTGTGGAAATGGACGCTCAGGCTTGCTGTTAATAAAGTGCATTGTAGCCAGACAAAAGTTATTACTTCATCTGCCTTTCATGGCAGTGGCTGTTATTTACTTGAATGCAGAAGTTACTAAATACATTAGATTCATATTTTGAGCATCCACTTTATTTGGTGTACTATGAACAGCATTCAGCACTAACACACATCCCGTCACGTGCACTCCCTGCAGGAGGATTACAAATGTGTCCCCTCCAGTTTGAAAAGGACGACGACACCAACGGCCACATTGATTTTATCACATCAGCGTCCTCCCTCCGAGCCAAGATGTACTCGATCGAGCCAGCCGACAGACTGAAGACCAAGCGCATCGCTGGGAAGATCATCCCTGCGATCGCCACGACGACAGCTGCTGTGGCTGGACTGGTGAGAACAGCGTTAGTCTGTCCTTTACTTTTGACCGATGTACTGAAACCAAACTGCACGTCGTTGCTCGCAGCTTCTCAGCTACTGTTGATGTGCTTTTATTTTGAAATACTAAGGTGGCTCTGGAGTTGATCAAAGTGGTTGGAGGCTACAGGTTGGACTCTTTCAAAAACTGCTTCTTCAACTTGGCCATTCCAGTCGTGGTGCTCACAGAGCCCGCTGCAGTAAAACAGACACTCATCAGGTTGGAGCATTTCCATGGTTACCAGTTTTACTCCAGTGGTGAACTGGTGAAGTGTAGGTTATGACCATTTAGACTTCTGAAAGTGTGCACGTGGTATACGTTCCAGGAACAACATGTACTTCTCCATCTGGGACTGCTGGACGATCTTTGGCCATGAGGACTTCACTCTGTCTGACTTTATGAACGCAGTGAGGGTGAGACATTCGTTTACATCCTTCTGTTCTGCAGCTTCTTTGCTGTATTTTATAGAAGTTTTTGTTGTATTGTTGTAGGAAAAGTATGGGATTGAACCAAGCATGGTTGTCCATGGAGTAAAGATGCTGTATGTGCCTGTGATGCCTGGACACTCGAAGAGACTCAAACTTACGTAAGCACCTTGTCCCATTAGCCTCTTTTAGTCAGTTTTACTCGTTTTCTTACACTAAAATGATTTGCCTGCCTAAAACACTAAAGTCCACTGAACCACTGCCTCCTACAGGATGCAGAAGCTCATCAAGCCATCAGCAGACCGCCGCTACGTTGATCTTACAGTATCATTCGCTCCAGAATCTGATGGAGATGTGGACCTACCCGGTCCGCCTGTCCGATACTACTTCAGCTCCGACGGGAAGGCGCGCTGACGCCTCCTGAGACGTCCTCTTCAAACCTACTGTGTCCTTATTTCTCTTCTTCATGCAAACTGTTCAACCCTGAGATCGTAGGCCAGGCAGGCAGGACTAAGAGTCTTCCTGCAGAATGTTATCAGATGATGATAAAGCTCCTAGCCCCGGCACACCACCCCCACCAGAACTGCAGACCTGGTCCCAGTTTTTTTCTTGCCTCACATCTAGCCAGTGGAACATAAGGATGCTTGAGTAGCACTTGTCATACCTCTGTACAGAGATGTGGCTCATTCGTTTTACTCTGGAACGCACAGCCCTGCCTGTGTTGATGCCTTAATTGATACTTTATTTTGTTCATTTCGTGGCGTTGACCTACTTAAAAAAAAGTCGTCATCTACAGTTACATACTTCAAGGTACAGCCCATTCCTCGTTTGTGTTTTAAAATCTGCTCGGTTTTAAAGTTGTAAGATCGTTGGCACAGGAACGATCAGCAGATGGTGGTCATCACATCATCTTCCTCCTCAGAATTTGTTCATCTCTTCTTATAGAAACCGAAACGGTTTGAACGGTTTTGTGGCAAACGACCAAAGATAATGATCAACTTTAACGTCTTTCATCGGCCTCATCACAACACGTCTAACATCAGCAACATGTCGACGGCACCTTCGACGTGCTTCGTCACAAGTAGGCGCGCGTCTGTCGCCTCAGAAAAGCATTTTTATATCACAACACATTCAAAATGATGCATCTGTTGTGAGGAGTTCAACCACCCAAACATAGCTGTTTAATTCATGCACTGACATCATTTAATACTCGCTGGCAAACCATGTTTGTTATCTTAAACCTTGGCTTGATATGAGCAGATGTTTCTTAGACAGGAAGGCCTCAAACATCTGTATCCAACATAACACACTCCTGGTTTTAATAGTTTATAGTTTGTCATATTTGTTTATGGATGTACGTTGGCAACGTATTTATTTCTCTTTTTTTGTGTCAAACTGAGCCTGTGTTGTTAAATTATGGTGCGCTGGTTAATTCTTAGTAATGAACACTGAGTTGTTTTTATCCAGGCAATTCAAAATTCAGTTCCTCTTGAAAGTTGTGAAATATACAGGTTTATATTTGAAATGATGCCCATGAAGTTCGGAATTGAGTCAATCAAAATTCAAAAACATCAATCTAAAATTATTTATCCACTTGGAGTAATCTGCAGGCCAAGACTAAAATTAAAATAATGGCTCATTCTATATTCACATATGGTGAATAAAGCAGAGTGTCTCGTGTGTTGTTAACTCTTGTTCAATGACCATCTGTGTAAAAACAGTGTTGAGAGATGATGTTTGTTCTTGTCACAGCTCCATCTATGTTCCAATAAAATGTGAGAATTCAGGATGTATTAAATTAAAGTGCTTGAGTCTTTGTTTTTAAAAATGATAAAAATTCAGTTTATTACATTTTATCAGTTCCCTCCAAGATACGAAGGCATTGGTTTAAACATAATTTACAAAGATGTACAGTAATATAGATGCATGTATTTTAAGTTTATGCAGAATTTGTTAAAAATTAATTCATTTTTACATTTCATTTGTAAATGTGATTATAAATACTGGTGCAAATAATATATGAAGAACAGTTTCTTGAAGCATTCACTTCATATGTCGAGGTCCTGCAGGTTCCCCCAGCTGGGTCCCACTTTGACTTTGGCTTTTAGCTTCACGTAAAGTTTCACTGCTGACTCCATCTCCCTCTTTACGATCTGTGCAACCTGACAAGAAAAAAAACATTCACATGAACTTTTCCCACTTTTTGCACGTCAAAAGTCTGTCGTGTTACGGTGTGGCTCCATCCGCCTGTAAACTTTCTCTTGTCCCATAACTTCTGATCCGCTCAAGATGATTTAACAAAATTCCTACACCTATCTATCATCACTAGACGGAGCGTTGCATACTCTTCATCACCCCAGCTCCAAGGTCAAGGTCACAAATCAAGGTCAAAGGTTATACAAGGTCATTGTTTGTCCGGGGTATAACGTGCCATGTGCGTTACTTGAAGATGCACTTAGAATAAATTAAGCTTTGAGAAGCCCAACGGTAACGTTCCAACCTGTATGAGGTCTTGTTCTGTGGTTTCATAGATGAGCTCATCGTGCAGCTGCAGGATGAAATAGGCTCCCCTCAGCCGAGACGTCCTGGCTCTGCTCTCGTTATGGGCTGGCGTGACAACAAATGTAATTTAACAGACGTGTGCATGTGTTGTTCGTGCAAAAAGTAAACGAGAGCGCAGCGATGAGGTCACCTGTGTGCTGGTGAGACAGCGGCGCTGCAGGATACGTCTGTCGCAGCCGTTTCTGGATGTTCACAGTCGCCAGTTTAACGATGTCTGCCGCTGAACCCTGAACAGTTGTGTTCACTGCCTGCCGCTCCGCCTGATTGAGCCACGGACGATAAGAGACACAGACGATAAAAGATTCGTTCAACAAGTGAAATCTTGATGAAATCGTGAACTTACATGAGCTTTGATGTGCACGTTGGTGCTGGTGATGCCAGCTAAATATCTCCTGCGGCCCATCAGGGTCTGAACATAACCGTTCTTTACGCAGTTCTTCACGGTTTCTTTAAGAAAAGTATTAATCCCTGGAATACAAGAGAGGACATGGAAAAATGGTGAGAACAGAAACATGGATGATTTTAGTGTTCATTTTACCTCACAGCTTCTCATCTCTCACACACACACACACACACACACACACACACACACACACACACACAC